ATTAGTGCGTGTTTGCGTTATATAATGATTATATTCATTGTGGGAAGTTCGCACACGTACATAACACATTTCAATTCTTTTTTCATGTCCTTTCTCCCCTGCCCCGCTCCCTCCATATTTTGATCCCCTTCCCCATTTGAAAAAGATCTCCCTACTTCCTATTATCTATCTTTTATTCTGCTCTTTATTTGTATTTTGTGTTTCTCGTATAAAAGAAACTGCAATATTTAAACTTATGGGATTGATTTATTTCACTTAACATCATGGTCTCAAGATGATTTTCCTACAAATGACTCTTCCTTTATGGCATAGTAATACTGCATTGTGTATAAATACCATATTTTCTTCATCCATTTATCTGTTGATGGATGTATAGGCTGCTTCCAAGATTTAGCAGTTGAGTTGTGCTGCTATAAACATGAGTACACATGTACCTCTATAGTATGAAACTTTAACTCTTTGGGGAAGATACCCAGCTGGGTCAAATGGAATTTCTAGCTTTAGTTTTCTGAGGAATCTTACACTAATTTTCATGGTAGTTTTACTAGTTTGCACTCCCACCAACAATGTAGAAGGGTTCCTTTTTCCCATACCATACCAGCATTTGTTATTATTTGATTTCTTAATGATAGTGGAATAAGATGGAATCTCAGGTTGTTTTAATCTGGATTTCTCTAGTGGGCAGAGATGTGGGACCTTTTTTTTCATGTATTTGTGGCCATCTGAGAATGTCTGTTCATTTTAGTTGCCCATTCTTGATTGGTTCTTCTATTTTGGGGGGGGGTCTCACTTATCAAATTCTTATATATTCTAAATATTAGTCCTCTGAGGAATAGCTGGCAAAATTTTTTTCTCATTTTGTAAGTTGTCTTTTCACTCTGTTGGTTGTTTCCGTTGTGTACATAAGCTTTTTAATTTGCAGTGATCTCATTTGTTGATTCATGGTACTACTACTTGAGACCTTGGGGTTCTGTTCAAAAAACCCTTGCCTGTGCCTATGTCTTTAAGAGTTTAACTTATTTTGTCTTCCAGCAGATTGTGCTTCTCTTTCTAGATTCAGTCTTCTGCATGTGGATAGCCAATTCCCACCATCATTAAAGAGGCTATCGTTCCTCCCGTGTATGTTTTTGGCTCCTTTCTCAAAAATCAAATAGGTGAATGTGCCTGGGGTTGTTTCTATATCCTCTATTCTGTTCCATTAATCCATGTGTCTATTTTTGTGCCAGTACCATACTGTTTTTATCACTATAGCTTTGTAATATAACTTCAAATCCAGGATTGTGACACCTTCTGATTGGCTCTTGTTACCCAGAATTGCTTCGGCTATTCTGAGTCTCTTCTGGATCTGTGTGAATTTTAAGGTTGTTTTCTTCAGTTCTGTGAGGAATGCTATTGGTATTTTGATTGGGATTGTGTTAAACCTGTGTATCAGTTCCGCTATGACTTTTCCTTTAAAGTATAAGTTATTTAGTTTTCATGTCAGACTCTTCACTGATTGTGAATGCCTTATGAGCAAGACGCTACCGTATTCACCCTTGTATCCCCTTGAATCACGTGACATTCTTAAGGACAAGTGGGTGCTGGCATGTGAGACCTCAGCCTCCCTGGTACTTACCATCTGTGTTCCTTCAGGCCTCAAGATGCTCCCTAGCCGATAAGCTCCAACTAGAGTGGGGGCAGGGTGTTCGCTGTCACTCTGCATCGCCATGCAGAGCCCACGGTCCTGTCGTGGCTCAACAGATGAGTGTCCCGTCAGATGGGAAGATGTGATCTTCGGAGACTGAGTGAGGGAGGACTGGAAATTCCAGGGCAAATGTGTAAAACAAGAAATATTGGATCCATAGCAAGCCAGTAAATGGCATTTCCAATGCCACCCCTTGAGAGTCTTGGCTGAGCTGATGGGCAGCACAGAGAGTCTAAAACTAGACTTACTGCTCTGCACCTGATACCTGCGTTTCCTCTGCTAATCGTCATAACAAAGAGCAAATGCGGGCTGGGGAGATAGCTCAGTGGCACAAGCACCTGCCTGGCAAGCACAAGGTCCTGAGTTCTATCCCCAGTACCAAAAAAAAAGAAAGAAAAAAGAACACATGCTCTTATTATGCCCATTTGTAGAGATGTAAACTGAGGCTTGGAGACGTTAACCAGCTAACCTGATGTCACAAAGGTTAGAAATTTGTGAGGCTAAAACTTGGGCTCTAGAACTTTTACCTCTGATACTGGTTGAGAAAGCTCCACCAGGCCAACCCTCCTGCAGACAATAACTATGAACTAAGAATAAAAATAAACTAAAATGCAGCTGCCTGAAGGCACTAGAGAATGGAGAGGAGCAGGAAGCAGGCCTGGTTTCTGGTGGGGAACCCATGCATGCAGGAAGGCAGTTTCTACAACAGGAAAAGTTTCTGCACAGGTCCACGCACAGTGTGGCACATGGGCTGTCTTTCCAGGGAACCAGAAGGCTGAAAACAGGGCTATATAGCTGCTGAGAGGGATCCCAGAAGGGAAATAGCTGGAAAGAGCCCCCCAGATTCTGTCCTCCCGTGTGTCTTTTGACACATACATGGAGTAGAATCAAAGTGGCTTGGCCAAGGATAAAGGTGCTGAACTGAGATTGTAGGTGCTGACCACATTTTGCAGTTTGAGTCCAACAAAGATAAATACCTGGAAAGAGAGACAGAGACAGAGGGACAAACAGAGACACAGAGAGAGAGACTTACAAAGAAAAAAAGAGAAACTATACTCGTCAGGGGAAAATAACATAATCCACAATCCAAAGTCTCTATGACTTCACCTTCATTAATTCCAGGATACAGTCCAAAAGTACTTGACATACATAAAACCTAGAAGATGAATCATATTTTCAAAAGAAAAGAATACCAAGTGAGAACACACCTGAGATGAACTGGATGTGGAATTAGAAAACAAGAATTGAAGCATCTAGCATTATTACCCTCAACAAAATAAAAGAAAATGTTTTCATAATGAATCACGACAGAAATTTCAGCCAATAAATAGAAAGAACAATAAAAGAGCTATTCCAAAACTGAAAAATACTCTGAAGTTTTAAAAGATCAACCAGATAAATTTAACAACAAACTGGGGTTGAGAGGAGAAAAAAATAAGTGACCTTATAGATCTATAGAAACCACCCAATATAGAGAACAGAGTTGTTCTCTAAGTTGAAAATATATGGAAATTCAGACACCTATTAGCTAATATCAGACAATCTAAGATATGTGCTGGACACTTCCCAAAAGAAGTACAGATGGTCAATAAATATATGAAAAATGTTCAGCATCTTTAGCTAGCAGGGATATTCAAATCAAGTCTTCATTGAGATTCCATTTTACCCCAGTCAGAATTGCTGTTATCTAAAAATAAATTAAATAAATAAATAAATAATAAAAATCAAAATCAACTTGACTTGGCTAAGAGGTACCCAGATAGATGGAAAAACTGACTTCTGGATGAGTCGGTGAGGGTTTTTCCAGAAGAGAGGTTCACATTTGTCAGTAGATTGAGTACTGCTCTTGCCTGTAAAGCATCAGCCAGTTTGCTGAGAGCTGAGTGGAACAGAAGCACAAGGAAGGGCTCCTTTTCTCTCTCTACTGGAGGTGGGACATCCATCCTCTTCTGTTTCTAGACATCAGAGCTCCTTCTCCTTTGGCCTCCCAACTTGGACAGGACTTGTGCCACTGGCCCCCTTGGTCCTCAGGCTTCCAGGCTCGTACAGGACGTACACCATGGCCTCCCCTGGTTCTTTGAGCTGTTGGGATCAGACTGGAGCTACCCCACTGACTTTCCTGGGCCTCCAGCTTGCAGATGGCAGATGGTGGGACTTCGTGGCCTCCATAAGCATGTGGGCCAATCTGTCAGAATCAATCTCTTTATATATCTCCTGTTGGTTCTATTTCTATGATGAACGCTGACGAATACACACATGTACTTGGCTACACCACAGCCCCATGCCAACAGGAGATCCAGGCAGGGGCCCAGCAGGAGCCTGGCCTGGAAGGCGGGTGAAGACACGGGGAGGTGAGGACAGTGGGCGTCTGGAGCATGATGGGCAAGCAATCGGACTGAGACCCCACCTGAGTCAGCAAAGAGAACCGGGCCGCGGGCCGCACCGCCAGGGCCGGGAAGGCCGTGTTCGCCCATCAGCTCAGCCAAGGCTCTCAAGGGGTGGCACTGGAAATGCCATTTACTGGCTTGCTATGGATCCAATATTTCTTGTTTTACACATTTGCCCTGGAATTTCCAGTCCTCCCTCACTCCTTAGAGGAGACTAGACTAGACCTTTGTGGGTAATAAACATGTTCTCCAAGGCTTTTCAACAAGTACTGACATAACATTTTTCAGTGCCCATGCACTTACATGGCCCTTTGATTTTGTTGTTAGTCTATATACAAGCAGGCCAAGGGCTATTGTCCTGCTTCTGCGACACGGGCTAACGTGCTCCTGGTGACCCGGCTGCGAGGGGCATTGCCCTATGAGCCTGGGGCTGTAGGAGAAATTTCACTCCATAGCAGGACAGCAGAGGGGAGGTCAGCAGGACCCCAAGGGTGTCTCTGCTGGGTTAGTTAACACTATTCTAAGAATGTCCTGGGCTGGCTCCCTGGGGACAGAAAGCCAGCACCTGGATACAGATCTCCTCTGTATGGACACAAATCCTCCAGAACCCTACTACAACTGGCCGGACTTTCTTTATGTGTTTTTCTTTTATTGCAGGGGTGGTGTTTTGAGACAGGGTCTCACTAAGCAGTTCAGGCTGGCCTTGAATTCACTATGTAGCCCAGGCTGGCCTTGAACTCGTGGCAATCCTCCTGCCTCAGCTTCCGGAGTGCTGAGATTACGAGTGTGCCACCATGCTCAGCCTGGCAAGACTTTCTAATGGAAAGCTGTCTTACCAGAGAGAGTTCCAAGTCCTAGTTCTTTCAGGTGGTTCTAGAGATGGCAGTGTCTGGACAGAACCTCAGACATTGGCTGGTGCCTGCGCAATCATGGCCACGTTGGCTGGCATGCGTGAGGCAGGGTGACTCAGTGATGTGGACCTCAGCTAGGCTCAAATAAGACATTTCTGAGGCTCATCTGACCTCTTAAAGCTTGGACAAGTAGCCAACTTTTTGGAGGGTTTGTGTTTTTATAGCCTGCTGAGATTCCTGATGGTGCATGTGGGCGTGTTGACAGCGCGTGTTATTCCTTGAGTTAATATGATGAGAATAGTAATAATAAAGTGTGGCCGCCTGAGGCTGCACGACGGGGCTGGGCTTCCTGTTTCCCTGACTCGGGTGAGGTGGCCTGCTCTTTGGCCCTGTCAGGTTCAGCTCTGACAGAATTCCCATGCCCTTCCAGCAGTTCTGATGCCCTGGCGCAGAGCCTTCTGCTTGTTGCTTCCCAGGAGGGGTCACCGGCAGGGAGCAGCTCCGAGCCTTCACTGGCAATGCCAAGCGGACTCCAGCTCCTTCCGGGCCAGGGCCAGCTGCACAGCCCCCAGGCAGCGGGCCCTGCCTTGTGGGTGAGGAAACTCAGGACCCCATAGGGGGCCCGAGGTCTCCTCACCAGGGAGGAGATGTGCTTGGATGGCCTTTCACTGGGACACCCACTTCTTTGTCAAGTCCAACACCTCCAGGGATTTCCCAACTTTCTTAGCCAGAATTTCACTCTGATCTTCCATTTTTCTCTAAGAAAGTGAAGATTCAACAAAAAAATTTGAAACTATTCAATTAGAATTAGAAAATTAATTATCAGTCAATCATGAAGCTATGTGGTAGTTCGTATGCCTCCAGCAAGCAAGGATGACGCAGGAACCAATGTCTCTTAGCTCCTTTGCAAACTTAAGTCTGAGTCTCACTGGTGCTGATGGAAACTGCTTCTTTGTGGATACTCTGACATTCCCATTGCCATGGAATTGGCCTGGCCTCTAGAGATGACATTTCCTTTCACTTTGGGTGAAGTATTGAGGGACAATTATCTTTGAGTCCTCAAAGGCATGGATTTGTCTCTTCTGTTCCCACTAAGAAGGATATCAGACAACAGGCCAACCTTGTTCTACCCTCCCACAGCCCACCCCCGGGGCAGTCTGTCCTTCCTCCCATCTCAGCTGCAACTGACTGGATCAGGGTGGGCCTCTCCCAAGGAGCTATGGCTGGTGGGAAAAAGGTGACCCGGTCCTCTAAGATTTCTCCTTCAGGATGTGAGCTGAGAGGCTGTTGACTTTTGGAGGGGAAGTCAAAGCAGAAAGGCTGTGGAGCAGGAAGGGGAGAGACGCATGAAGGTCACCTGCAGGCTGAGACGAGAATGGAGCAGGCACCAAGAAACCAGGGACCATGAGCCACAGGTTCTAGGGAAAACGGGCATGGGACCTAAGCTTGGCATGGCTTTCTCCTCACAGTTCCAGCTCTCGGAGGACCGCCTAGGCCAAGGCTTCCGCTATGAGTTGCCATTCCTCCTTAGGCAGCTCAGGGGAGCGTCTCTGAGCCCCATTAGCTCATCTAGGGCAAGTCTACTACCATAGTCGTCAAGGACCGTGCTAGACATGTGCACGGCAGCCCCCAGCCACAGGTGGCCCTCAAGCACTTGGAATGTGGCTGGGCCAGACTGAGATATGCTCCGAGTGTGAAATACACCCTGCATCTGCGTCCTGAAAACTTCAGACAAAAAAGATAAAATATCTCTTTCATAATTTTTATATATTGGATGCATGTTGAAATGATAATATCTTAGCTATATCCATTGAAATAAAATACACTGTTAAAATTAACTTCTGGTTTGGGGTTTTTCATTTGTTTGTCTCCTTTTGTAATGTGGCCACTAAAAAATTTATAGTTGTGTATTTAACTTGAGTTCTGTTTCTGTCAGATAGTCCTGCTTTACCCTGAAAATCCTGGGCAGAACAACAGTAGATGTTTTAACAATCATATTAATTGGTTCCAGAACAAAACTGAAGCATCACGGAATCAACACACCTACGCTCCTGCCTCAAGCATGCTGGAGCCTAAGCCAGACCTGCTAAAGTGGCCCTGCTTTGAAAGCCCACCCCTCCCCAGAGAAACCATGTAACCTTGGGGTCCTAGCAGCCCTTGCTGTGCCACAGTAGGCAGAGAAGAGACTGTGTGTGTCATCTCTACCCTAAGGAAGACTTGACGGAGACTTTATCCTTGTTAAGTACAGCTGTCTCTTGGTAACCTTTAGAGGTGAGCCACTCTACAAGGATGCCACAGATACCTAGGAACAGCTCCAGGTTCCCTCTTAGATGCCAAAGTTCATGGATGTTCAAAATGGCATCATTATCACATATATACCACACACATCCTACTGTAGACTTAAAACCATCTCTAGATTATAATACCTAACCTAACATCAACACTACATATGCCAGGGATATAGCTCAGTGGCACAAGCGCCTGACTGGCAAACACAAGGTCCCAAGTTCGATTCCTGGTACCAAAAAACAAAACACTACATAAGTAGTGAATATATTGTTTAAGGAAACCATGACAAGAAAAAGATATTTGTATGTGTTCAGTACAGATGCAACGGTTTTTTCCAAATATTTTCCATCTGCAGTTGGTTGAATCTGGGGATACAGAACTTGTGGATATTGACAGTTGGCTGTAATCTCACATTCAACTGATTTACACAATATAAGGTTTTTTTTTTAAATCCTGGAAATTCTCATAAGGCCAAGGACAGGCATTTGGCCAGGCGTCTGGAGCAGGTAAGACAGGCCATCAGCCATGGTGTGAGCTTCTCCCCATCTTTCACATTTGCGCCTCTTGAAGCACCTCTGCCAGCCTTCTCTCTGCAGACCAAAGGACGCTGTTTCCCTGGGGAGGGGGAGGTGGGGGTTTCAGCCAGAGGAATGGAAGCCCACAGCCTCTTTCTCAGAAAGACACTGATGCTACTCTAGGTCCCTGGCTAAGTTTCACAGGGCGGGGATTCGTGGCCCAGCTTGAGGACAGCCATGTCCCAACCACAGGGAGCCAAGGTGCATGTGAACATGAATGCTTGCGGTGGAAAGCACACGGTGAAGGGAAGAAAATGGGAGGGGACTGTCGGACAAAACAATACAACTCTGTGATATTCACGATTATTATTTTTCTTAGTCCATTTTCTGGCGCTGTGATGGAATACTGGGCCTGAGTAATTTACAAAGAAGAGCAATTTATTTACCTCACAGTTGTGGAAGCGGAGGTTCAAGATCCAGCAGCCACCTCTGGTGGGGGCCTCATGCGGTCGCATGACAGGACAGATGGCATCAAGGCAGCAGGAGCAGGTGCAGGAGTGGCAAGTGGCATATGGGGGAGGAGAGTGTGGGCATGAGAGAGGGAGATGCCAGGCTGATAACAATGTGTGCTTGAAAGAACCAACCCAGTCTTTCAAGGAAGACATTAGTTCATTCAGAAGAACAGACCTCCGTGACCTATTATCAGTTCAAGGCCCCACTTCCCAACAGCTTCATACTGGCAATCAAATTTCAACGTGAGTTTTGGCAGGAGCAACCCATATCCAAACCGTAGCATTACTATTTGCTAAATCGGGATTCATGGTTAAAAGGAACTGTTCTGCCATATGTGGAGGGCTCCAGATGACACCTCCTACACCCTGTCTAGAATTTGACACACCTGCATGAACTTTCACCCCCCTCTCCAACAACTATAATTTGACAATAAAAAAATGTGAAATTAAACATGAACTGAGCCATGCAGTTCATGGATGGACCACTTGAGCAGCAAGGGAGCCATGTCACCAAATCACAAGCAATAACAGAAGCCACTCTACAAGGATGCCACAGATACCTATGAAAATTGATCATTCCACTAAAAGTAGGGATGTGTTCCAATGAACCTTATTTAATCTGACCCGTGTCAACACCCAAGTAAAAATCTCCTGTGCTAAAATGAGTTCATCCACACCTATTTATTGGCTATTCATGTCCTTCTACACCATCTGGCCCTGGCTAAATCACACAGCTTTGGAGTTCATTTCAAAAACCTAGTCATATGCATAAAGAAGTTCACTCATCACTGACTCATAGAAGAAAGCCAATTTCCTGTGTGCTTGTCAAGACTGTGTCTGGGGGTTGGCTGGGCCACCTCACAGTCATTTCTCTCCCACTGATCTCTAGAGACCCCCTCCTCCGCCAGTCTGCGCAGATTGATCATTGCTCCTGCATATACTATGCCTCTGCAGCCTAAAGATAGCCCATTGGCCAGTGAGCACTGGTGCAACCCTTAGGAAGTTTCTCCCTCTTTGAATATAATGCACGTACTTACTACCACCTGGCAGGCTTGTTATAAAGATCAAGTAGAACTTACAACACTTAAGCTATAACTGGAGTATTTTATTTCCGTTACAAAAATAAAAACTATGTGGCAAATTTTGACATGTTTACTGGTTGAATTCTCCCCCTACTTTCCCATATACCTATAATATTAGTCTGTTTCCTCAAAAATGTTTAAAGTCATGTTGGCGCAAGAGGGATCAAATTTGCCTCCCACCATAACTATTGGATTAATAACATCCCTTAGTTATTGCAGACTGATCAGGTCCGCAATCTCTTGAAGGAGTGTATGGTGAAGGCCAAATAAAAACAGGCAAATGGAATGATTTCAAGGCTCCAGGAGGATCAGAGCCCTCTCACAGAATTCAAGATTCTCTGGGTGGCCCATATTTATTTGGTTATCAGAAGAAGCAGGGGGCTTACTCAAGAAGGGTGGAGTCACTCAAGGACTTCTCCAAGTAAGGTGTTAAATTAATCCTTAATAAGGATTAAGTTAATTCATCCAAGAGTGACATGCCTGAGGCTATGGTCTTTATCTAGTTGGGATCAGATCTGGGTGTCCTTGGCTGTGATCTTGTCTTATTTTTTGAGGCTTTCCAGCTTCATCCACCACTACAGGTTTTAGTAGTGGTTAGTGACTCACAGAGGTTCACTTACTATGAATCTGTTGCCCATTTCCAGACAAGGAGCCTAGGCCTTGGACAGATTCACAAGTGAACATGAAGAGCCAATTGGTTTATTTAAATCCTGCTCAGGGTTGCTTCGTAGTGGTCTCCATCACATAACCAATTACAAAAATAGGTAAACTATGCACAACCACTGTGTTCAGCTATGACACAACTGTGAGCACAGGGCTGATGCCTGAGAGAAGAGAAACAACTGAAGTGACCCCCCATGGTTGCTTCATGTTTTTGCCCAGAGCCCATTTCTGGGTCTATATTTCAAGGAGAGGGATCTTAGAAGATTAGTCTCATTGAGTTGAGAAGACAGAGTTTAGGGAGGTAGATGCAGGTGGAGTTTGTGTGATAAAGTACTGGAGAGAAGGAAGCAGTGCTAAGAAAATGGCCTGATTCTGCATAGGGATCTCCTTGAATTTGTTTCTGAACACTAAGCAGAACATTAATAGAGTAAAACTTCATGAGACTAATTAAAGAATTACAAAGAAGTTGTAAGTTGAATAATAACAGGACCAGAAAATATTTGAGTTTGTTGGAGCTACACAGGACTACAAGATATCTGAGTTTAACCAGGCAGAATGAAAAGTCCACAATGACCCTTTGAGTGATTCAGTAGAGACCACAGAAGGGTCATGCCTTAGCAGAAGAACTATCAAAGCTTATAAACAGTCCTCAGAAGGGTCAAGATAATCTCTAATTAACTTAAATGCCTATTGATGCTAAGATCAATATTCTTTAAAGGAACATAACAAAATCTAGCATGGAACACAATAAAACTCACAATGTTCAGCATCCAATACATTTATTGCCAAACATGCAAAATGCAGGAGATGTGATCCATGCTGAGGAGAAAAATCATCAGGTGAAAAATAAGTTGGTAAATGACATAGATGATGAAATAATCACAGAGGAACTTTAAAACACCTGTAATAAATACATTCATGTAAAAATAAATATGAACTGAATGAGAAGGAAATGGAGGATATTAAAAGAGCCAAAAAGGACTTGAAGAGATGAGAAATATATGAAATGAAAGTTTTACTGGATGAGTTTAACCGCAGACTTGACATTACAGGGAAAAAAGTGTTTTGAAGGTCTACCAATACAAGCTATCTAAACATAAGAACAGAAAGAAAGAAGTCTGAGCATAGCTTCTATAACTGATGGAACAACATCAAGCAGCTAGTATCCATGAAATTGGAGTTCCAGAAAGATAAGCAAAGGAGAAAACAGAAGAGGTGTTTGAAGAAATTATGACCAACTTACTCATAAAATTTGAGAACTGTAAATCTGCAGACCAAAATATCTTACACGATGATAGAATATGATCAAATATCTGAAAAACAATGACAAAGTGAACATCTTTAAAACATCCAGAGACAAAAGGCACATTTTGTACCAAAAAAACCCATAAAATTTATGATAGATTCTCATCAGAAACAATGCAATCCAGAAGACAATGGAATGCATTGTAAAGTGTTAGCGAAAAAGAATGCCAACCCAGAATCCTAAATCAGGCAAAGACATAATTTGAAA